GGCATAACTCAGTCTGGCATCGTGCCCCTTTCCATATTTCACCAGAATGCTACCCCAGAAGGCGAGATGTGTGTGCACAGCCCTCTCACAGTTTCTCAGGCACTAATATCCAGTTGTGGCATAGCACTGCAAACCCCTGAGTGCCTCTGACGAATATTGCAGTGAACAAAATCAAGCCCTCATGAGAAATGCCCCATTGAGCCAGACTAATGGTCCATCTAATTCATGGCAATTCAGCTGCTGCTTGGGGAGTCAAGCGAGTTGGCCGCTTCCTGAAGTCTGTTCACCTTGGCTGCCTGCTGCATGGCTGCTGGGGGATTCTGCTTCATTTAGCATTTTGTCAGACTGGAATAACGTACATGCTTGTGTATAGTGCAGCACTGATAGTCTGGGGAGCATCAGAAGGATAAACTACATTAACAGCATTACTTTTATAGTTATCTGCATTTATCTGCCAGCATTCTCCTTTGCTGATGAATCTTACTAAATTCAATCTTATTTGTGTTTCCCTGTCTTTCTCCCTGAGGTTTCTACCACTGACARCTCAGGGTTTAGCAGGTTTAGCAATAATGGCAGCTGTTCTGTTGGGTGAGCACTTCTGTTTTACCTATTGTGCTGTCTAGACTTGAACCCCGTAGAGAAGGACATTACATCGAGAGCAAAGATGATGATATTTGGGTAAACTTTATCTTTCTATGCAAAAATCATGCCAAAAATGGGATAGTGTAGGGAAAAACCCATTGGTGCGCAAAATCAGATGCTGATCCTTGGTGTGTTAGAGAAGGAAATAAAACAGGAAAGTTCCCACTCAATCGTAAACACAATCATATTTTTTTCTCTACTAACTGAGACAAACCATCTTTTACAGACAACAGTTTGCTCTCAGAGACACACAGTCTACATTGAGTGCCCTGAAAGKTTCCTGTCCTGTCCAGAAGCATCCCTTGCTTCTCCTCAGCAGAGCAAATGACTTACCACTGCAACAGGAGCTAAATTAATACAAAGGGTCTAGGAGATGGGGTTATTTGTAGTTCATCTTCTTTGTAGTCTGTCATGGAACTACTTCTTTTGAAAGAGAGATTTTTGAACCAATGAGTAGGAAGCTGCAGAGGGTGGGGAAGGAAGAAATACATTTTCCTCAGTATGATTTTTGGGTTGACCACCCTTCCATTTTAAAGTTCTTGGCAAGTACTGATGGGTTGTTCTACACAGCACATCTTTCAAGAAGACATTTACAAAGAAATAACTGATGTATAAGTATTTGCTAATGAGGGAGGGGTCGGACACATCACACATTTCTAGAATCTAKAAAGTCTAAGTGTCTGTGATTACCAGAGAAAACCACCAGCTAGCAACTGAGCTGGAAAAAAGAACTACAAAATCTTGGTGCTAAGTTTAAATATATTCAATGTAAGTTGCAATCTTAATTTTCATTTGTCTGTGTTGTTTGTTTTTTTTTTTTAGGTTCATCTGAAAATTGTAAAAAAAAAAAAAAAAAAAAAAAAAAAAAAAAGAAAACAAACCTGAAACTATTCTTCTGCCTCCCAAGAACAKACCATGAGTATGCCTGATCTACACCTGGAGAAATCACTACCCAATCAGTATCAGCATGCACTCATTTTTCTTTAAAATAATTTCTGATCATGCAGTGAAAAACAGAGTACCTAGAATGAAGTGTTGCTGAAAACAAGTTTTGTTGATCACACTTAGGTGTGACTTGTGATCCACTTCCACCTGAGGRGGGTGGTCAAGCAAGGAAAACAAAAATTGGTCTTAACTATATTATAGGATGATAGAATGAAGCTCATTGTCTGCATTCCTTCCATATTTGTCATCATTGTCTTGTCCACATTACCAATCTGCTCTTGTACTGGTAACAGCTTCCATTTCAGGCCTGAAGACAATATACAATTTTCACCCAATATATTACTCTCTTACCTTAAAAATGTACAAAACCATTGAGCACTTTTCAGAAGGCTTTGGCAGCACAGTAGTATTATTTGTCAAGGAAGTAAACCTTCTCACCCAACCTCTTAAATGGCATGTTTCCAGAAGAGGAGGTAGACATTTAAACTTTGAATTGCAATAGCATGTGTTAAAGCATAAAACAGGAACATACACAGAACTAAGGCACGCTTCTTGAAGTTATGTTCACACATTGTGACATTAGAGCTTATTTTCTCTTCTAAGTGTGTCTCATTGCTTCCATTCACTGTACCAAAGAGAGACTATAACCTTAAATAAAATGTGGGAAATTTTGTTTGTTTGTGAGGGGTGGATTTTTTCTTTTTTCTTTTTGTTTGTTTGAGGTTTTTAAGCGTCCATACAGAGCTAAAAACAAAAATAAGTGGCCCAAAACACAATCCAAAATATTTGTCACAGGCAGAAATTAACAGCAGATACATCATACTGAAGCTTTTCTGGATGCAAAAWGTCCCCCAGAGTCAGAACCAATGCTGATACATAACAAAACTTAGGCAATACGACTTTCAGTGTTCAGGTATTAAATAAAAATTACCTAATTAAATGGTATAAAATACGTACATTAATTRACATTCTCCTAACAGCCAGCTCACCATGGTCTAGTTACTGGWAACCAAAACCAATAAACATGTCCCTCTTGTCTTCAGCAGTGGGTTTTCCAAAAAAAGTTTTTTTAGCAAAGCATAAATTGAATCAAATAGYTTGCATCCCTTCTGTTGAAAGGCCTCTCTGTTTTTCTCGCTGGATTTACTCTCATGTCTAGAATTTGAAGCATAGCAAAATGCTTTACCAGAGTACACTGACACCAGTTTAAGGGTCTAATTTATGTACAGTTCAACAGCCCTCCTCACAGCCCACACAGCTAAACACTGTCATTGTGAAATACAGCCTTGTMTTTTGCATCTCCTGATCTTGTAGAGGGCAGACAATGTTTCACTGCAGTCTTGTCTTTGAAGTGCAGGAGTAGACAAGGCCTTCAAGAAAGTCTTGCTACACATGAAGCTTTTATTTCATTATTGGATTTGTAGAGCCTCAGGCCTGCTCTACTCTTTCCAAATACTGAAGCCAAGTAGGAAATACAAATAATTTTTCTTTTACATACACTGCCAGAATACATACAGTTTTTTGAAAACAACTTATATATACACCATTCTCATTAGGGCGTGTCGAAACTGGAGAATAAAACTATGCACTTAATTATCCCATCAGAGTCACATAGCTACCAACACTAGAATTCCGTCTTCCCTCCCCAAACAAAATACCCAAATTACAACTACACAGAAGCCCACATAAGCAGGTCACCGGCTACTATTCATTACTGTAGCTCTTTCTGTCCCCATCTTTTTTTTTCCACAGATCTCTCACCCTTTCAGAGACTGAAGAACAGCGCCACAAAAGCCAGACTTTCTTCTAAAGCTGCCACTAACAACTGCCCAAGCCTGTCCTGTCAACGCTAGGATTTCTCCTCTAGCAGAATCATAGTTCCACAGCTGACTTATAGACCAGCTCCATGTCAGATTTTGCAAAACGGTTCATTTCCTAGGGCCACTCGTGCCTCCTCTGCTCAGGGAATTGATTTTCCTCAGCTTCCCTCAAGGAATCCATTCCCATGTTTGCACCGTGGTCTTTGCAGCAGTTGTTCGCAGGGACTGAMCAGCTACAGGTGGACGAGACAAGCAGCTCTGTTCCAGGCTCTTGCCATGTGCTGCAGTTACTTTACACCTTAGCAGAGGTTTTGGCGTGGTGGATTTTGTGGACCAGAGATGGTGATTTTTTTTCCGTTTTTCTGCTTGACAAAAGAACACTTAATTTGCAAAGGCAAAACTTAATTGAGACATTGAGTCAGTTTTTCCCACGACCCCCGAGTATTCAGTGATAATGAGGATTTCAGGCATTCGTACTTCCTTCCCATACCGCTGTGTGCTCGTTCTGTCTCTGTGCCACCACGCTCTGCTTTTGCCGTTGTGCCAGTTCCTTGCTGTGCCTTTTTTTTTTTTTTTTTTTTTTTTTTTCC